CCCCAAAACCCCAAAACCCCAAAACCCCGACTTGGAGCTTAATAATTGAATCAATAACAAATTTACAATAACTCATTGCTTAACGCCACAAATTTAATACTGTCTCTTGAATTCTCTAGGCTAAGCAAAAGATCACATGTTCTTCAAGCAGCCTATCTGCTTTTCTTCATACCTGCTTTCTTTGAGTTTGAAGCTTTTGTAGAAGCTCTAATTTCATTCATAAAAGCAGAGGGTCCATTCGATAACTTAGCTGACACCTCCAGATCAGTGATGTAGGTCTTGTCTTCTTCTTCAATGTACTGGAGTTGGATTCTGAAAGCTATTTCATTGTCAAGTTCTGATCTGATCCAGCTGATTTCTCCCTCTTGATAGTTGTAGTCAACTTCATTCGAGAATTCTCTTCCGAGAACAGATTCATCAGATTGCTATAAAATATGAGCAAAGAAGATAGGAGGATACTTACCTTGACTATTCTGCATGCTCTTGATGTGTCAAAGAAGGGGTTATTCGACTCATCGAGAATGCTCACATCGACATATCACAAGTCGTTGAACTCAGTAGTAGCTATCATACTCTCTCAAGGATACTCTATTCTACCATTAAAGTTGAAGTGTCTCTGGTTGTCTGTTGATTTGATAAGGTTGAAAACAGAGTAGCCATTTTCTGAGGTTTGACGAGTGAATACCCCGCCAAATATTTCATACCAAAACCTTTCCTTATTGTTACGTAGTTCAATTCTGAAATTGTAGTTGTTGAATTCGTATCCAGGATCAATATCGCCAGGGCGTTTCTGTGATGGTCGGACTTTGTCTAGCATTTTCAAGAAGAAATCTGTGTATGAATAGGAAAGAGTGATGAAGGCTATCTGAGACTCATCATATAATCCGATCATTATCTCTGGAGCTTCTGGAATTCAAGTATGCATCAGACTCTCAGGGGTAATTTCCAACTTCTTAGTGATTGTCCGCTTAAGATCTTTGGCTTTAGATACTGCCACCACTTCAAGGTCTGCTAACTTTTGAATATTCATAAGTTTCTTAGGGTGGTAAGTGGCACACAAGGAATGCTCGAAGTACAGCACCTTGCTAGCTGGTATGACTCAAGTGCCTTGTCCAGAATTGTATTGAATTCTGAAATTGAATTTGAAAGTTTGGAGATATTTCCTCATATCTTTCCTCAACTTCTTGATATCAGTTTCGAAGAACCTGGAGAATCCTTTTGCAACTCGACTATCCTTTTTGCTTTGAACTAGTGCAAATTTGGTCCTTGCTTGCTCTTCCCAATCAACTTTAGAATTTTCATCTCTCATATACTCCCATTGCTGGTCTGGATGGGTGAAACTTTTGAGATGCTCTGCTTCTTCTGGTTCGAACAACGAGTCAATGCTCCAGCCTTGGCCTTGGTAAAAATAAAACCAAACAATAGGAAGGTCAGTTCATTCTTTGAATCTTCGACAGACGCTTCTGAAATTTAAGATGTCTTTGACATTCGCAGTCGCGTACAATAAGATGTTCACGACCAAATTCTTGTGAAGAGCTAATGTCTTCAGCTGACGAGCTTTCTTCTCTTGAAGTTTGGAATATTTTACTCTATGGCAAGGCATTTGGGCGATCTTTGGAGGAATTTGTTCTAAAAATATGAGCTGATAAATTTTAAAATTTAAAAACCAATTCTCCCAAAAATGTATCAGTTTAACCCTGAAAATAACTTACTCTTTCCCTTCGGCAGCTTCGATGCTTGTTTTGCTATAAATAAGCCAATATCAGTCTTACATTGAGCTGGTTTCTTGGCTGTAATCCTATTGCTGATTTTCGATCTTTTCTCCATTTTCAATTTATAAATACTCTGAAGGGGTTTTGGGGTTTTGGGGTTTTGGGGTTTTGGGGTTTTGGGG